GTATTTTAATGCTGCTTTGCCTTTAATCTGTTGAACCAGAAAGGAGAAAGAACACAGCATGAAAGGAGAGAAATGCTAGCCAGACTCTATGAAAGTCTTCTAGGTAGGGCTGATAGTCTCTGAAGGACCACATTTTACCTATCCTGATTTATTACACAGTCATACCCATAAATGATGTTTCTGTACAAATGTAGCGTTTTCCTCTTTTTAGGCTATTCTGAGAAATTTTGCTATCCAAAGTAATGGTCAAGGTGGCGCCCCCTCCATTCCCAATGTCAAAAGCTAACCAAACTTGCAGCTGCATTTTGCTTTGATATCAGGAATGGGCTTCCATTGTACAGTATTGTTGACTTTATTTATTTCTGATGGCAGTGGACTTGCAAAGCATGCTACACGACACATCTATTTTAGATGTTCAACATCACTGCTTCCTACCCATCGTTATCCTGAGATATCTGCTGCCTGAGGTGTCTGCCTTGCTCTTCCAAAAAACAAGAGAGGTGTTGCTTCAGCTCAGCTTCCTGCGTTTTTCTTTTACAGTTCTCAAATTGCAGTTTAGTTTTTCACAGTTTAAGACTAGGAGAACAGGGGCAGTAGATACATGTGTTATTGTATAAGAACTGAGGCCTAGCAAACATGCTTCTGCTTTTGGCTGCAGAATGTTGAGGTCTGTGTTATTCTCTAAATCAGCAAGTGTTAAGTTTTTCTTCTTAGTAACGTTGATAAAAGTTTGGCTGATTTAGCATACGATCAGATGGGCATTTGTCCTACTGCTTGGTCTGCTGTGGGAATTGGCTGTTTCATTCCTTTTTCAAGAGATCGCATGAATTAATTTCTGGAGCAAACCAAACCATCCCCAGAATCTTCCCCCCTGCATCCTTCTGCATCCCTGTCAGGGGCTTCTACTTTTCTGGTGCAAATAGGATGCTCTGTTTTGGATAGGATGCTCTGATTTGGTTCGTTTCCAGCATGTGTGATCACTGAAAACAAACCTGAGCAAGCTTGTGTCTGTCAATTTCCCTTCCTCTGTCATTTTGCCAGTATTGTTAAATGGCTTAAAAAATAGCTTAGCCACTTCATGATATTGGGGAATTAAACACTTCCTGTGTTCTGTGGAGGGGCAGAGGAAGTTAAAAAGAAACCCACTGTGCTATGACAGCACTTGCATCATTTTTTAAAAAAAGAAAGGGAAAAATGGAAAACTTTCTCTTAGAAGCAGGAAGAGACAGGAGGGGGTAAGGCAGAGGATTTTTGACACTATTATATAGCTAATTATCTTAGAAGCAGGAAGAGACAGGAGGGGGTAAGGCAGAGGATTTTTGACACTATTATATAGCTAATTAGGGCAGAGCTGATGCTCTGCACTACTTACAAAGAACATACATATTTCTCCCAGAAATGAAATCTTTCTCCCAGAAGTGGGAGCTGTCCTGTGTAGTGCTTTTAAGTGTCTTTCTGTTGTATGATTTATAGATTAACATTGTCTAATCATTACTTTAATGTTACGATTATTAATGTTACTATAACATTAATAATGCTATGGTAACATTATTAATGTTACCATAACATTACTTTAATATTATGGTATATTATTATAGATATTTGAAGTGAAGAACCTGCACAGAGGTGCTGCAAATTAACATTATCAGTGCTTTTTAAAAAATTGCTTGAATGACAGTCTTTTTAAAAAGTTCACATAGAAGAGTATTCTTGGAAAATAATGATTTGTTTATAGGGAGAAAAGTCACTGAGAATAGGTTTTAAAACATAATGTTTGCATTCTTAAGGTCTCTTGAAAGAGATTAGTTAACGGCTAAATAGATGATTGGCTAGTTTTAAATTCTGGTGTCCTACTGTGTGATAAATATTGTTCATGTTACGATAAATATAAATACAGTAAGTTCTGCAAATGTTTATTGTCAGCTAAATAATTTCTTATTTTCTTTTAAAAAAACTCTAGCTTATATTTAAAACAAAATCAGCTGATGAACAAACTTTCTCTATTCCATGTCCTCGTTACTTCTTCATAATCATGGCTGTTTTGTCTTGTTTTCCCACTCTTCACTTAGTTTGGCTCATTTGGACGCCAACTGCTGCACTTTATCACTTTTGTTTTTCATTTCTTTCTCTGCAATCTGTGCACATTTTCCATTGCAACTAGTCTTTGCTTCTCAGTTATTCCATTTAGCTTCAACAGCATCCATTTATCAACCTTTATTTATGCATTACATTTCTTATGCTGCCCAATAGCTGATGCTCTTGGATGGTTTACTAAATTATACCTCATTCCTTTCCTCCATACTAGCCATATGAAGCTCCACTTTCTTGATTTTAGTTAGTTTTTCTTTTAATGCTCTAAAAGAGATATTGCTTCATCACAGTTATGAAAACTGCAGTCTTTTGTCTGTTTGATGGGCAGTGCAATCAAGAGAGAGAGAAAGTCAACAATACTTATTTGCTTCTTCTTGCCTGCCATTAAGGGATGTATGCTAAGTAATTATTTAAAACCAAATGAACTGGTATCAGTAAGTCTCTATTGAACTACTGTACCACAATAATTACCAACAAAATATCTGGTCAGGCTATATAACAATCACAATTGAATTTTTTTAAAAAAAAATCAGCACATTTAAGAGAAAAAAGGAAAGGCAAAACTAATAGGCACAGCATATTGTACTTTCAGCTCAGGATTTATGTGTGTGTCAAAGTATGCGAGCAGGGAGGAAAATACCTGGTAATGCAGATTCTTTTGTTGCTTGCTTAAAGCAGTGCCGCCCTCTAGATATTTTAGACTCATTTCCTACCGTTGGCCCGGATCGCTAAATCCCAAACTTTAGGAGGGTGAGAAGGTCTTCATTCCTGATTTAAAGTATGATTCCTGCCGCACAGCGTACGGTGTGCAGCGTAATCTGAATAAGTGAACTTGTCCACAAAAGGTCACATTAAAATACAACAGTTAGTTTTTAAGGTGCCACAAGACTTTTGTCTTTTTAAAATCTTTTATTATTTCTTTCTTTGGGTTTTGCCTGATATGCTTGCACAGATTAACATAGATACTTCTTCTAAAATACACCATATAGAGTAAATGGTGTATTTCCAACTCTTGTATTTGTGGACACTTTTGCAAAAAGATGAACCATAAATATATGAAACAACTCCCAGAAATGTGGTACAGATTGGCTTGTGGATCAGTGTGAACTAATCTGTGTCCTTAACTTCCCTTAGAACAAATGTGTAGAGAAAATGTGATTTAACATACAATCATCCACTGACTGGAGGTACGTAATATCTAAGGGACCTCCCATCTTGCTATCAGCCTATCCAGACATTAAGCTCTTAAGGCGAGGGCTTACTAAACATATTGATTGGTCCAAAGGCCTGCTTGACAAGCATGCAGGAGAGGGCCTTCTTCTCTGTGGCTCCAGGGCAGTGATGGGGAACCTATGGCATGCGTGCCACAGCTGGCACGCAGAGCCCTTTCTGCTGGCACACGAGCCATAAGTCACCGAATCGCTACTCCCCCCCCCGCGCAACCAAACCTAAGGAGGCGGATGCAGCCGTGGTGCTGGTGCTTCAACAGGTGGTGGGTCAGGATCCAGAACAGTTGACACTGGCAGTGGATCTGGAGTGGGGTCTCGAGGTACCGCCATGCCTGGGATTCCCCCTTCTGCCGCCACTTCCGGTTCTGCCCCCACCACTTCCAGTCACCCCACCCCAGTGTGGGGACCTGGGTCCAAATAGGTTCACTGCCACTGCTCTACGACATAGGGATGCACTCCCTTCAGGATGTGGTCTGTTTTTACTCTGATTTAAGAAAGGAGTAGAAACCCATCTCTTTTTTTAAAACTGGCATGTGATATCTAATCTGCCCTGCTGCTTTTTTTTCACTATATCCTTTGTTGACTTTAATGGTTTTAATTTGTTTATTTTAATAGATTTTTCCAGTGGGGTTTATTGATTTGATCTTTTTTCAATTTTTTAATGTTAAATGTTGTATTGCCTGTTTTTATTTTTCCAAGGAGTTTGTACACAACAGTGTTTTTCAGTGGAAAATCAGGGTATAAATAAGAATCAGAATATTGGCCAGAATTCTACTGGGGATTTGTGGCAGCACAAGTGTAACTGTGTAAATTGCAGCAGCAGATGGCTGCTGATTTTCTGCTCATGTTCCCAGGCACATGCTATGTTGTGTGACTGGTACTTGATAAGAAATGTGAATGACAATTCATTAATCAGTGGCAATTCCAAGCCACAGTGTCTACAATTACACCCAAGCTAGCAAAAATTCCAAGCAAGATTCTAGTCACTGTTTCATGGTACTCTTGTACTCAGGGTTTATTCTTGTGGACAGGATGAATAATTACATAACTATCTGTAGCTGAGTTGAGGCATCTATTGGCTAAAAGAAATGCCCTTGTCATCTTCATATATTTCCATCAAGAACTGAAAGCCAAGTCAGAAGCTTGCTTTAAACTTGCTGGGTTTGCAGTGTGTCCCCAATTCAAAGTTCAGTCTGTGTCTATTGCTTCATTGCAAAGCTGCCAAATGTGATATGAAATGGCTGAGTTGAAATGTAGACATGTATGTAGAGACTTCAAGGCATGAAACAATAGCGCCTCAGTCTTCTTGTGATAATTGACATCTGGCCTTAATTTATTGGATCTAAGAAGCAACAGCTTTTAAGAGTGGAAGGCACTTCCTGTACCTCAGAGAGGGTCCCAGTAATCTGCTAAATTCCGTGTATATTCTGTATGCCTCCATATACATCTCTTGCCATTCTTGCTGATCCCTGATTGTCAGAATCAGCTTTGGGCACAGGATCGTGGGATGCAGGAAGAATGAAAGCCCTGTTTGAGAACATCACTTGTGTTTTTTATGATCCAACCCAAGGAACTAAAAGAAATGCTTTCGATTGGTTGATGCATGGGAGGGGTCTGGATAGTTGAAATTGTAAATCATTGACTGTGCTTTTTAAATTTTCATGCCTTGTTTGGTATCAGACTACTTCTCACCATCATCCTGTAGCCAATGGCTATGAGCTGTTTGAGGTTTCTGAAGAGAAGGATGAAGAAGTTGCTGCTTTCTGCCATATGCTGGATGTGTAAGTATTTTTCTGTGATAGAAAATGTCTAAACAAAGTACCCTTCCAAAGCTTCCCACCGGCTAAAATCCACTGTGTGTTTATGTTTGCATGGGCATGCTATGGCCAGACTGTCTTTAGCAATTAATTACTGACATTGATTAATTCTTGGTGTCTGGAAAATAAATCCTCTTTGTCCATGTACCATCGTGTTTTCACCATGGCCTCAGTGGAAAGGGTCTAAGCCCACAACTGATTGCATGAGATAAATCTATATAGGATGGCAATGCCTGCCCTGGTTTATAGTAAACTGTCTGTAATAGACAGGGGCAGCCCAAGACATTTTGCTTTCTGTGGTGGGGCAGTGATTGATGCCTTGTTTCCGCCCAAGTCAAGGCACTTGATATCTTTATCTCGCTATGATATTTTGGTGCATGAGGCAGAAAAATCCCAGAAGTGCCTCATCCTGTGCCTGGCAGTAAAAATGCAATAATACAAAAAACAATTAAATAACTGACAACTTGTTGATATCCAAAATCTGCCAATAGAGGCAGCCTTCCTCCTCTGCCTAAAGTTAATGACATCCTTTGAACAACTGTTAACAAAATATAGCTTCTCAATGGTGCCAGTAAAATGATTCAAAAGGAAGAGGAGATATGATTTCCAAAGGAAGAAAAGAGCAAATCAAAGGGTAACGATGGATGGATGGATGGATGGATGGATGGATGGATGGATGGATGGATGGATGGATGGATGGATGGATGGATGGATGGATGGATGGATGGATGGATGGATGGATGGATGGATGGATGGATGGGGGAACAGGCACAAGACGTTGATAGAAACTGCTTGTACAAATCTTTTTTTTTGTCCACAGATTGAGATCAGGGTACAGTACCAAGGACTACTCCCTTACTGGTTATGTCTGGAGCGCTGTTAACCTTAGTCCTGAACACCTGGGTCATGGGGTCAGCTTAAAAGTGACAGTGGTGTATGATAGCCTACAGGAGCCTCTCACCTTCACTTGTGACTGTAAGTTTTTGACTTGAACTGGGAGAGCCCTTTCAGCTCCTCTCAACAGAGGAGATGTATTCCTTTTCATTGCTGTGAAAGAATGGCTTGTCAGTTGTACTATTTATAAGCTTCTCCAACCAGATATGTGGCAAGGGATAATAGGAATTCTAGTCCATTGTATCTGTGCAGGCGCCACTTGGGAAAATGTAGTAGATAAGACTTCATTACTGTCTTCTGGACCAGCATTCTCAATCTATTTTTGGCCCAGACATAAACACAACATGAAAGAAATATAGGCTAAATCCAGAGAGTTTAAGTTGCATAAGGAATCTCTTTAGGTAGTGAGTGAAGAATCGTTTCCGGTCTGTGGCCCCCTTCGAATGTGCCAGGCCCCCCATGGACAATATGGCTCCCGCTGTTCTAACGCACAAGTTAACAGGAGGTGACTTAAACTTCAGGAATACTCATGAATGGACTTGAGTTTTACGATGTGTGAAGAGCAGTGATAGGGAAGCCTGAGCAATTTCAGGACTGTGAGGTTCACTGTGACCTCCCCCCAAGCTTCTCTCAGCTGGATTGCCACTTCATACTAGTCCACACAGACTCCTGTTCTCAGATCTAACCCTACTATTATCCAACCAGATGCCCTGTGTCATCTTCACATACTTGAGACACCTGGTTCCCATTGCCACCCTTATAGTGCAGCTGCCCTATTAATCTTCCAAGACAATATGCATGACCACTAAGCTACTATGCTCTTGTGGGGTACTTCCATTTCACTTTGAGGACAATCTTTATTAAAGCTTTCTGTAGAAACACAGACCTTTGCATAATGCTGCCATAACCAGTTATTAAACCAGAACTCTTGTTTGAGCTGAGGTTAAGCAGCCAGCATGGATAGATATGTGGTACCTGATCTCTGAACATAAAGAGATGCTTAATACACAAAATTGATTTTACTTTTTCAAAATATTAAATTGCAGTAGGATAGAATAAAAAAAGAGATAAATATGATGAAATTGGAGAAAAGAACTGAAAGAGGCCTTTAGTATTGCTTCATATTGTACACCATCAACTCATTTGCTTTGTGTATAATATCTATTAGAAGCAGTCTCTTACCTAACCTAAGGCCAATCAGTCTCTTACCTAACCTAAGGCCAATCAGTCTCTTACCTAACCTAAGGCCAATCAGTCTCTTACCTAACCTAAGGCCAATCAGTCTCTTACCTAACCTAAGGCCAATCAGTCTCTTACCTAACCTAAGGCCAATCAGTCTCTTACCTAACCTAAGGCCAATCAGTCTCTTACCTAACCTAAGGCCAATCAGTCTCTTACACAGATAATCTCCCCTCCTTATCAAAACAATACAGCCACAACAAAACATACTAATTAACCATCTCCTGATAGGACAATAGCCTTCTCACAAACAAGCCTTCTCACAGCCATAAATACTCCACTCTCAAGCCTTACCCAGAGCACAGTTTGCTGTCCTCTGAAGATGCCGGCCACAGATACTGGCGAAACGTTAGGAAGAACCACCTTCAGAACACGGCCAAGAAGCCTGAAAACCCCACAACAACCATTAGTAACAATAAGCACAGAGACAGAGTTATAAAGCAATAGGGATTCTGTCATATACCATATTTTTCCTTGTATAAAACAACACTTTTTCCTTAAATAATTTGAGAAAAAATTGAGGGTTGTTTTATACATGGAAGGCAGCTGTTTACCACTGCCTTTTGCAAAGGCTTAGCAAAAAGGTCAAAAATGGAGATGAAACCTGAAACTTATTTGTTCAATATGGAAAAGTTAAACTCGAGACAAGAGACAAAAAAATTGTTTATACATATTAGCTGCAGCCAGAATTCAACTGGCAAAACAATGGAAAGACAAGGAGGAACTTTCGGTGGAGGATTTTTTAATAAAATTACAAGAACTAATATTAATGGACAAACTAACAGACTCATTGAAAGGAAAGAGTAGAGCAGAGCACGAATCTCAATGGGGGAAAGTAAAGAATTATCTCAGAGAGAAATGGAAGAAAGATTCCAAACTTTTACCAAATGACTTAGGCTTAAATTAGAAGCAGAACTGCTCTGAACAGAAGTAAAAACAAAGTAAAACAGATTGTTAATATGGATGCAAAATAAGAATTAAGAAAGGTATTATTAAGACTGTGAAGAAAATAAATGTCTGGTGGAAAATAAAGAAATAAAAATGTTAAAGACTTACTGTTTTGCAAAAGAGATAATAGAAAGTTATTTTGGTTATGTGCTAATATTGTGATAATTATTTACTTATTTTTATAATTTCTTTTTTAAATGCAATAAAGATTAAAAGTTTAAGAACATTCATTTGAAAGAAACGGAAACTTGCATTTAGATGTATGCCTTCTTAATTACATACTGTATTAAAATGTAGGGTATGATGCATTTGCAAGTACTGATAAGCTTTTATGAATTTCACAATTTTTGCCCTGATGGTTGTGTTTGCATTTCAGCTTATTTTTAATTTTATGCTCAATATTATATTCCCCATTTGAAGTTAATTTCATAAGTATTTTTTCAGTATTTCACATTTTAATGTTTATGTAACTTTATATGATTCATTGTTGTCCATTTTCATATAAAAAATGAGGCCTTTATCTCATTTGAACAGTGTTTATTCATGACACATATTCATTTAATTAAATCAACATTTGTCTGATTAGTTCAGCTTGACCTTGTTAAACAGGTGAACAAATTCAGTAGAATAATGTCGAATTTCTTGTTAACATTTTTAGTGTAAATGTTGTGATTAATTAAAAAGAAGGAAATCCTGTGTTACATTAATCTCAACACCTTTAATTTGTTCTCTGCACTTCTAATAATTGCTAGAGTGGGTACGTTAGATCTATTGTCTGTTATTGGCTCATGAAGGTATTACGCTCTATGATTAATATCAAACTGCTTGTCTGATAGACTTTGATAAACATTTACTCCATATGAATCAGGTCATTTTCTGCAAGACTTGTCTTCTTGTGGCTTTGCTTTTTTCCTTTAAACTCCTGCAGCCATTTGCTCAGCTAGCACGACTGTCCTGTCATTGTTGGACCTCTGTCTTATGATTAATACACACTGTGCTCTGGATTATGCCTATTAGGGGAGGAGGAGAAGAGAGCAAGTGTCCCTCTATGAGACAAATTATATTTCAGATCCGCTGCAGGTTCTGGAGCAGATGCTTTATTGTCACAGTCTCACTTAATGAATTGAAGTAGCCGTTTCATGAATTTCCATGAATATTATTACTGTTGTCCTGCACTACCAGGTGAACTCTGTGTCTTAAAAATAACCATGCACTTATTTTTGTGAACCTTCTAAAAGTGCATCAGATACTTTTCTAGGATAGCAGGTTTTTTCATCTATAATCCCATCCTCTTACACAGAAATTCTCAATATGTATCTCCCCCTCCCTCCCTCCCTTAAAAAATATTCTGAGGCTCTTATTGAAGCTCTGGTTTAAGAGTGGCTGGATGCCTGGTTTGCAACATTTTACCCTTCTGTGAAGACAAGAATAGTATATAACTTGGATCAGGGAGAGCTGTAGAAGCAGCCCAGTGTGTATATTCATGCCAACATTTTACCCTTCTGTGAAGACAAGAATATATAACTTGGATCAGGGAGAGTTGTAGAAGCAGCCCAGTGTGTATATTCATGCCAAAGAAAGTGAGTCTACTGGATCAGTTAAGGCATGGAAGGGCCAAGATGGGGAATTCCAGGAAATCTTGCCTTCACACTCATCACACTGTGTTTGGTCATTTTCTCCATCCTTGTAGGTTCCTCCACGGTGGATTTGCTCATCTATCAGACCCTTTGTTACACTCATGATGAACTGCGTGATATTGATGTGGAGGACTTTGTACTCAAACTATGTGGCCTGGAGGAATTCCTGCAAAAGTGAGTGATGGGGCAGTGTTAGTACAAAAAGCTTAGGCTGTAATATAGAGTCCATGTACCTAGAAATATTCCCTTCAGAGTTCACACTTGGGCTTGTTTCTGAGTAGACACCTGAGGGTTTGTGCTGTTAGACATCCTGCATGTTTCTTTCTGCATTTAGAACAATATGATCTCTTGGATGACTGAGAAATAGAAATGTAGGTCCTTCCAGATGGGACATTTTCTTTCTGGTCCAAAGCTTGCCATTCTTTTTTAAGGGACCCTAGTGCCTATTTCCAAAGTGGGGATGATGATGATGATGATGATGATGATGATGATGATGATGATGATGGATGATGATGATGATGATGATGATGATCTAGCACTATGGTGCTTATGCAAGCTGGGAGGAAAAATGGACAGAAAAAGGGAGTAAAGGTGACAAGTAGCAGAGAAAGGGGAAACTCACAGCCTGGGGCTGGGTGTCAGTGGAGACTTGGTGGCAGTGGCTGCTGCCACTTTGCACACAGAGGCCACATGGCAAAGCACCCAGATGAAATGAGGCAGCAGGAAGAGACTGTTTTTAATGGTCTTGAGAGCTGCATGGTTCCCAGTTTCCCGATCTTTAATGTAGAGGCAAATCCTGATAAATTGCAGGCAAAACCAATGGGGCAGCAGAACAAGATAGTATGAATGTCCTCTCTAAAAGAGACCTCCAGATGTTTTAGATTAAAGCCCCAGACTTTATGGCCAGCAGTCATGGATTATAGGAGCTGTAGTCCAAATCATCTGAAGAGCACCAAGTTGCTTACCCTGCGTTCGACCACGCTATTAAACCCTCTCCCCGCCAGCCCCCTCCCCTGCCCCCCAAATAGAAAAACCCACTCTGAACTGTCAGGAAAGATGAAGTGTAAATTCTTCTAAGTGAACAGGTCAGTCCTTGCCATGTTTGCCAGGATGGCATGAATCATAGTTACGTAGCCTCCCCTCTGAATGCTTGACCAGTGACTTCACCAGTTTGCTGTGTGTACCCTTTCCGCCAGTATAATCATCATTTGGCACAGAAGGTACAAGTCTTCCCAAAGGGGGTGATGTGAGTGAATAAATGAGATTATTTTAGCACCTGCAAAGAAACATGGTTAGAACTGTGTGAGTTGTTCAATTCCTAATTCCTTGAATCATGGAGAATGTCTTGCCAAGACAGTCCCCCTGGAGGCCTTCTGCAGCGATGGGAAGATATGACTCCCCCCCCCCCATTGACTCTCTGAAACTAATGTTGAATTGAAGAGTCTTCTCAAGAATTATGAAGCTTCCAAGTAAAGCTCCTTAGATTGTGATGATTCTCAAGAAACTGGCAAATGAGTCAAATAATTTTTTTTAACAAAATCCTTGCATTCAATTTATGCTATGAAATCTGACTCTGTGGGTATAAATGGATCAAGATGGGTGGAGACATGCTCTCAAATAAACGCAGCCATCACATGGATGAAGGTGCAGGAGGGAAAAAGGGCTTTCTCCTGTGTCGCTACCAGATTGTTAAAGGTCCTTAACTCAAAGTTGTGATCAGTTATCACTCTCAGTGCTTTTAGGAAGGATGTGAAAATGCATCTCTTCCTACTGGTCTTTTGGACTCCTGATGTTATCTGAGTGTTGCGATGATGTCTATAGTTTCGGTCACTGTTATATTTTAATGGTTTTTCTAACCCATTCCTTTTTAGTTTGTTTTTAATAATGTCTGTTAGCCACCTTGTACGCTATGATTTAGTGGAAAGATGGGATAAAATGTAATAAAATATATAAGAAAATATTTACTTATACTTCAGGAAGGGAAAAACACAAACCATCATTTGCTTTATCTCTCTTCCCCCCCCAATGGTATAATTCTGTAGATGAATTCTCCCCCTGGAGGAATGGGAATGGGGGGAGATAACATCTGTCTTCAGGGCAAAACCAAAAAAACTTTCCCCTCTGGGTCACCCTCAGCTAACCAATCTAGCGCTAGCATCCCCAGCTTTTAGCAGGGCACTTAAACTGCTGGACTTGCCCTTCTTGACCACAGCATGCTGCATTTCCACCAGACAAATTACCCATTAATGTATGGGAGGACTGAGAATGGCTTTGTAGTTTTGAACTGAAGAGCTTGCGGTTCAGTTACAACGGCTGGGAATGCAAGCTGGCAAGTGCAAACCAATGATTACTGGGACCAGTCGTTAGGGGACAGACTATAAAACCACACAGCCCACTGTGGAGAGCCAATGTGTGTGTATATATGAGAGAGAGAGAGAGAGAGAAGAGGGGGGGAAAGGTTGCATGTGCATTGAAAGCCAGATGAAGGTAACAAACCTCCCAGATAGATTCCAGTGTTTATAGATGGATAAATATGAAACCTTTGGTAATCAAGGGACAGTTTCCTGCTCTTGTGGGGCCCTGGCATTGAGCAAAGTGGTTTGAACCACACTCTGGCTTTTTCTGCGTTAATGAAATATTTCTCCCTCCCTCCCTCCCTCCCTCCCTCCCTCTCTCTCTCTCTCTCTCTCTCTGTGTGTGTTGCCTGAATGGTTCAGAGATCTGGCATCAGTAGACTCCTTACCACCTTTCAGTTTGTCTCGGACGTGTAGCAAATCTCTTGTGGCTGCAATAGATTCTAGGGACTTGTTTCTGGTAGGAAGAACTCAGCCATCCCCTGCAGGGAAATCAAGGGAAAAATGTCCTCAGTTTCTTGCCAAAGAACCAGTGTGAGCTGTTGCTATAATTCTTATGAGCGCCGATGATTTTTTAAAACTGCTTTTAAAAGGTGACGTTGCCCTCTGTAGAAAAATCTCCCTTCCCTTTATATAACATGTCTTAACTGAAAACAGAAACAAGCATGCATCAAGGAGAAAAAGTTTCACTGCCAACCTAGAACCCACAGGCGCCTCCTGTTGTGTTTTGGGTTATTCTTCCCTTCCAAAGGGATCTGGCACCACAGTTATGGAAAGGAAAAGGCCCATTCGTGGCATAGAGTCTATATCTTCAGGAAAGCTGGCCAGGAATTTGAAGGCTCTAAAGCAGGGATGGGGAATGGGTAGTCCTCTGTACAGCCCTAACAGCCATCAAAATCTGGAGGATCAGGCATTCCTTATCCCAACTGCCCAGCCTGCAGTGGCCATTTCCTTGCTTTTGGAGGAACAGTTTGGTAATTAATGGGCGCTACCGGGACTAGAGAGCACTCAATTTAATCCTAGCTGGCACAGCCAGCCCAAGACATTTTGCTGCCTGAAGCCAATGGTTCCCCTCCTATTTGCTGTCAGTGAAGTCACAGTGCCAAGTGCTCAAAGGTGGGGAAGTTATTTTAACCTGAGGCAGCAAATCCCCTCTCCCCATCCTGAACATTAAAAAATACAGCAGTGGCACAATGGCTGAAATACAGTAGTAAGTTGCAATTAAAGTAGACCTACTGAATCAGTGGAACTTACACAGGAGTTGACTCAGCACTGATTCCAGTGGGCCTGCTCTAGTTGTGGCTTATCACTGGATTTCATTGTTTAAAATATTTACAGTTAGCTGGTCTTTTATGATAATCCAGTACCTGCTGTGCGAAGTTACCACCTCATTCCACCTAACAGCAGGGCTAACTCCATCAACCACTGTAATTAACATGTTTGCTTGGTACTATATGTAACACCACATTCCCATAGTAGATTTACTTTTACTTTTATTTTTTAGTTTGATTCCTTCATTGTCCTACATCCTACCCTGCCTAGAGGCTCTGTGTTGTCCAAACTGACCGAAGGTCTCTGGTTCATTTTCACATAAAATAATATTGAAGTAGTACTTTGAGCAACAAGTTTTGCCTGCCAATTTCTGTCAAAACCTTTCTGTTCTGCCTTAACTATTAGACAGAAGATAAAATACAAACTATATTAATTCCACACGGGCGGTAAAGTCATCTGCTTTTCACATGCATAGTTGTGGCTTCTTATAAGAGATCTGGAAGGCTGAGATTTTTCAGGGCTTAGTGCAGGAGAAGTACTGCCTAAGCTAGTGTCTGGGGAACAAGGGTTTTTTTGTTGTTGTGTAGGAAGGCACCATTCGGTTGCCCCCTGCTCTCCTATAAAGAGAGCCTTATGGAATAATTCCCACATGGACTGCCTTGTGCCCCGGTCAAAGGAGATGAAATGCTGATTCTTCTTTGTGTTTCATAGCACAAGAATTGTCTTTGCATGTGTTTTGAGGGCTTAGTGCAATACCCTGTAGTAAATGCTACTTTAATACAGGTAAAACTTAGTCCTTGAATCCCATGGCAGGTTTTAGTGATGCAAGAAATAGCTTTTCAAGCTTAAACATGTATATACTCTCTCTCTCTCTCTCTCTCTCTCTCTCTCTGTCTGTCTCTCTCTCTCAACCTCAACCTCAACTTATTTCCTTCTTTTTTCTTGCATGCACACTGAAGTGAGATGACCTGCCCTTTCTCCAACTGCCCTGTTGCCCATCACCTCCTTGGGAAGATACTGAATGGCAGGTGAGGAGCGCAAAAGTGCTCCTCACCACTCCTCCATCCCAAGTGAAATCTGTCTAATGAACTAGTGCATAAATGCTCTGCTATACCTCAGTAGTAACCTCAAAATATTTTTGGAAAATGCTTGTTTAAGCAAAGCAATTAAGCTTTTCCCCCTTCCCCAAATGCTCATGTTAAACCCCTCTCTTGAGATGTCTAGCTTTAATTCTGTTCTCACAATCTGACATGAGGTTTGAGATGCAAGACTGACAGCAGCAGGAGGCAACCTCAAGTCATTGCAAAAGCCCACTGTTGCTGTTACCCTGGTTCCCCCATTTCATTCCTACTCTCATGTAACACTTATTCCCCAACCAGCCCCTATGAAAAGCTGATGGAAAGGGGCTTACTTTTACATCACCTTGAATTGGTAGCTGCCACCTCCTCCACCTCCTTCAGCCATCCAAGATGGAGGGAACTCCTCCTTACCCTATAGATGGGAGAATTTCTCTTCGAGGGCCTGCCCTGTCCCCTGGGTTTGGGAGGT